CCCCAAACTAAGTCCCAAGTTAGGGTGGCACTGTCCCTTTAAGAGGAGAGTAATGAGGTTGTGAACAGTGGGACCTCACCACTATGCAGTCTGTTGTGAAGCCTCCTCCAGTCAGCTGGTATCCAGAACCTGAGACAATCAAGAGTTGCTTTCTGCAGAACCTGTGGCATTGGCCATAACTCTGGACTCTGTATTGACATTCACTTATGAATCCAGTAATGCCACTCTCTCCTAACTTGCTGGGCCCCTCCATCTGCAGGGGCCCACTCCAACACAGCGAAGAACTCTGGCATCTCTGACTACAACCATTACTTCTCACTTCCCTCATGAGGGCTGGAGTCACCGGAATGCTGAGACCTGGGGAAGTAGAGACGAGGGATTGCTGCGGCTGCACAGAGAGGCGCAGGATTTGAAGGAGGGGTACTGACCTCCTCTCTGTTGCCTACTGCTAAGATGGATGGGGGAGCAGAGATGTGACTCCCTACAGCTACAAAGAGAAGCACAGTTCTGCCCTAATCTCTGCTGCTGACACAAGGTGGGGAAGGAGATGAGGGGGGTGCCGTAGCTCTAGGAGAGATGCAAGAGCCACATGAAATGGCCTGGCAGGCGAGCCTTGTGTTTGACCATTTAAGTACCTTCTGAAGCCTGTCTGAAAAACTCCCATAAATATCATCATCCCATTCTATCTTGTTGCCAGGATGTTGCTAAAATACTCCCAGCTGATTCAAACACCCTCACATTCGTTTTCTGTCTCCTGCCGCAGTAGCTCTGAGCTCAGCCATGCTGAGATGGAGGAGATAGTGGATCACACACAGGAGTTTGAGAGCTCGCTCCTGTGATGGTGTGGGTGAGAATTAACAGATGGGTGTGTCTTAGCAACACCCTAGCAACAAGGTAGGACAGGATGATGCCATCTCTGAGAGTTTTTCATCCGGGCTTCAGGAGGTAGGTAGATGGCTTACACCAAAGATCTCCAAACTTTCTAAACAAAGGGCCAGTTTATTGTCCTTCAGACTTTAGGGGGGCCGGACTGTAGTCAGTGGGAGTGGAAATTTTCCTGGAATCAGTGGTAGTAAACATTGTAACATTTGGCATAAAGGAGAGGAATTGTGCCCCATCATTGGTATTAGTGGGAGGAATATTGTCCCATCATTGGTATCAGTGGGAAGACTAGTGCCCCATCATTGGTGTCAGGGGGAAGACTAGTGCCCCATCATTGGTGTCAGCGGGAAGACTAGTGCCCCATCATTGCTGTCAGTGGGAGGAATAGTGCCCCATCATTGGTGTCAGTGGCAGGAATAGTGCCCCATCATTGGTGTCAGTGGGAGAAATAGTGCCCCATCATTGGTATTAGGGGGAGGAATAGTGCCCCATCATTGGTGTCAATGGGAGGAATAGTTCCCCATCACTGGTATCAGTGGGAGGAATAGTGTCCCATCATTGGTATCAGTGGGAGGAATAGTGCCCCATCATTGGTATCAGTGGGAGGAATAGTGTCCCATCATTGGTATCAGTGGGAGGAATAGTGTCCCATTATTGGTATTAGTGGGATGAATAGTGTCCCGTCATTGGTATCAGTGGGAGGAATAGTGTCCCGTCATTGGTATCAGTGGGAGGAATAGTGTCCCATTATTGGTATTAGTGGGAGGAATACTGTCCCCTCATTGGTATTAGTGGGAGGAATAGTGTCCCATCATTGGTATCAGTGGGAGGAATAGTGTCCCATCATTGGTATCAGTGGGAGGAATAGTGCCCCATCATTGGTGTCAGTGAGAGGAATTGTGCCCCATCATTGGTATCAGTGGGAGGAATAGTGCCCCATCATTGGTATCAGTGGGAGGGATAGTGCCCATCATTGGTATCAGTGGGAGGAATAGTGCCCCATCATTGGTATCAGTGGGAGGAATTGTGTCCCATCATTGGTATCAGTGGGAGGAATAGTGCCCCATCATTGGTATTAGTGGGAGGAATAGTGCCCATCATTGGTATCAGTGGGAGGAATACTGTGCCATCATTGGTATCAGTGGGAGGAATAGTGTTCCATCATTGCTATTAGTGGGAGGAATAGTGCCCCATCATTGGTGTTAGTGGGGTGAATAGTGTCCCATCATTGGTATTAGTGGGAGGAATAGTGCCCCATCATTGGTGTCAGTGGAAAAATAGTGCCCCATCATTGATATTAGTGGGAGGAATGGTGTCCCATCATTGGTGTCAGTGGGAGGAATAGTGCCCCATCATTGGTATCAGTGGGAGGAATAGTGTCCATCATTGGTATTAGTATGAGGAATAGTGTCCCATCATTGGTATTACTGGGAGGAATAGTGTCCCATCATTGGTATCAGTGGGAGGAAGGAATCCCCATCGATGGTATCGGTGGGAAGACTAGTGCCCCATCATTGGTGTCAGTGGGAGGAAGGAATCCCCATCGATGGTATCGGTGGGAAGACTAGTGCCCCATCATCGGTGTCAGTGGGAGGAATAGTGTTCCATTGTTGGTCTCAGTGGGAGATATGGTGCCCCATTGTTGATGTCAGTTGGCAAAATTGTGTTTCATATAAGTGGGAAGAATAGTGTCCCACAGGCCAGATAAAGGCAAGCAAAGGCCACATCTGTCCCTCGGGCTGCAATTTGGAGACCACTTTCCTACACGTATAGCAAGTGCATTATCCATCTTTAGCCAAAGCTGCTCAGTTTGTTTTTATCTTCAGCTGCCACTTACCTGCATAGGCAGTTTTTTTGTTAAAGGTAAGGTGAACTAACCCTTTAAGGGGTGGGTTATGTTTGAAACCTCAGAGGAAGGTTCCATGCCACTCAAAGTAGAAGACATTTTCACTAGAGTTCCACTTTACTGTAGACCAGGAACCTCCGAAAAGTCATGCAGGCCTTGTATATACACGCTGCCCATGTGACAGTTCGTAGAAAACCCGTAGATTGGAATATGGAATGTTCAGTTTTGTTTCCAGACAGATCTTCGCTGACATCTGTTTCCCATTGTGGAAAATCACATGATTTCCTGTCAGCAGACTCGGACGTGGACGTTAGGAAGTATAACTATGACACATCTTACTCCGAACAAAACATTCACTAATCAGGTGAACATTTCCTAAGAATCTGCAGAACAGGACAAGTTCTTGTCTGGACAATGTACGATCTGTACTGCCTGTGGTATGACAGCTGCACACTGTGAAGTATTATATACACAATACAAAAGTAAAAGCACAAATAAGCCCCACCGTGGAAGCATCTGATAGGAATATTAAGCGCTTCTCATTTTATTCTCTCTGGTCGCTGTAGGTGACACAAATTCTAACTCCAGATCCTGTTAGGTTCATTGATCAGAAATTTTGGTAAAGAATGTGTAACATAACATATAGAGTACAGCACTTGAGACAATGTACAACATAGTGCATAGAGTAAAGCATTAGGGACAATATAATGTACAACATAGTAAATAGGGTACGGCACTTGGGACAGTATAATATACAACATAGCATATTGGGTACAGCATTTGGGACAATGTAATGTACAACATAGCACATAGGGTACAGCACTTTGGACTATATAATGTACAACAAAGCACATGAGATACAACACTTGGGACAATATAATGTACAACATAGCACGTTGGGTACAGCACTTGGGACAATATAATGTACAACATAGTATATAGGGTACAGCACTTGGGACAATGTAATGTACAAAATAGCACATAGAGTACAGCACTTGGGATAATGTACAACATAGTGCATACAGTAAAGCATTATGGACAATATAATGTACAACATAGTAAATAGGGTACAGCACTTGGGATAGTATAATATACAACATAGCATATTGGGTACAGCATTTGGGACAATGTAATGTACAACATAGCACATAGGGTACAGCATTTGGGATAATGTAAGGTACAACATAGCACATAGGGTACAGCATTTGGGACAATGTAATGTACAACATAGCACATAGGGTACAGCACTTTGGACTATATAATGTACAACAAAGCACATGAGATACAACACTTGGGACAATATAATGTACAACATAGCACGTTGGGTACAGCACTTGGGACAATATAATGTACAACATAGTATATAGGGTACAGCACTTGGGACAATGTAATGTACAAAATAGCACATAGAGTACAGCACTTGGGATAATGTACAACATAGTGCATACAGTAAAGCATTATGGACAATATAATGTGCAACATAGTAAATAGGGTACAGCACTTGGGACAGTATAATATACAACATAGCATATTGGGTACAGCATTTGGGACAATGTAATGTACAACATAGCAAATAGGGTACAGCATTTGGGGCAATGTAAGGTACAACATAGCAGATCGGGTACAGCACTTTGGACTATATAATGTACAACAAAGCACATGGGATACAGCACTTGGGACAATATAATGTACAACATAGCATGTTGGGTACAGCATTTGGGACAATGTAATGTACAACATAGTATATAGGGTACAGCACTTGGGACAATATAATGTACAACATAGTATATAGGGTACAGCATTTGGGACAATGTAATGTACAACATAGTATATAGGGTACAGCATTTGGGGCAATGTAAGGTACAACATAGCACATAGAGTACAGCACTTGGGACAATGTAATAGCACACAGAGTAAAGCACTTTGGACTATATAATGTACAACAAAGCACATGGGATACAGCACTTGTGACTATATAATGTACAACAAAGCACATTGGGTACAGCATTTGGGACAATGTAAGGTACAACATAAAACATAGGGTACAACAGTTGGGTCAATGTAATTTACAACATAGCACATTGTATACAGCATATGGGACTATGTAATTCATAACACAGTGCATTGGGTACAGCAGTTGGAAGTATGTTATGTACAACATACATGGTGCTGGTCAGTACAGATTCCCCATTATATCGGTGGTTGGTATAAAAACCTTTGTTACTTTGGACCAGGGGCGGACTGACCATTTGGAAACTGCCTGAGGGCCCAGGTCAGTAGGGGGCCCCATGAGATGCCCCTGGTACCTTTTTCATAGGCTTTTTTGAGTTTGGGCAAGGACACGGGGGCCCCATGATCCCCTATTGCCCGGGGGCCCCATGAGTTGTCAGTCCGCCCCTGCTTTGGACTATAGTGACAGAATGGTCTGCTACATTGGTCGTCAGTGAAATGTCCCCCATTATTGGAGTTCAGTGGAAGAAGGCCCTATTACTTTGTTGTCATTGGGTGAAAGCCTCCCATTAGATGGTGTCAGTGGGAAATGGCCTCCAAACATGGGTGGTCAGTGGTTACTTACTTAATACAAAAGCTCCTCTAGACGGACTGATTCCCGCACCCTCTGTGCCAGAACTGTGAGAATATCATCGGATATTGCCCACAGACCAGACCAGCAAGGCTACTTTCATTCACTGAGAGTACCCTGGCTGTCATCTGGTCACTAATGTTCTAGAGCCAATTTCAGGCTAGAAATGTGTGTATTTGTAACTTCCTTTGCTTTGAATTGATATCCCAATGTTATCAGCCTTCCAAACTACCTTTGTGAACTACAAAGCAACTCCCCTCTATGTACTGGAGATAAAGAGAGGAGCAAGTGTTTGTAGTCCAAATCAGAAACAAGAAGCCTAGGGTGATAATGCTGCTCTTCCATAGACACAGTTCAGAGTGAGCGTTGCCATCCGAGGATGGGAAGAATGGCAGGATCACCAGGTTAAAATAAATTAAAGAAAGCCTGAAAAAATCAAATGCAGCCAACACACCTAAGGACTGGTATTCTGTAATGTATTACATTTCTTCTTGGGTTTAGATACACTTTAACCTGTATCCTTAATGATAAGTTAATATCAAACTACCCCCTAAGCTCTATTAATAATGACAGCACTAAACCCATGACTCTAATCTCCCCCTAGCCTAACTCTAACCATTAACTTTTAATAATTTAACGTAGGTGATAAAAATATTATAATTGCCCCCGGTGAGGGAACCCATGCTAAAAGATTTTATATCTACAGCTCATAGTATGTTATATCATTGATGGTTGCCACTGAAATAGTGCTTCACTTAACAGTGCTCAGTGTAAAACATTGGAAATGAGGAAAGGTTTACCTTCACATTAGTAAACAGTAGGAGAGGTGCTCTCCTTCATTGGTCATTAGTGGAAAGAATGTTCTGCTACATTGGTGGTGAGTGTACTGCCCCCTGTTGAGGGTCATCTGTACTGGAACTTTGCAAGTAACAAAAAATGTATCTTGTTCACTGGTTATCAGCCACTTCCTTCTCCTCTGCTGCTTCCTTATTCTCTGCCGCTTCCTTCTTCTCTGCCGCTTCCTTCTCCTTTGCCGCTTCCTTATTCTTTGCCGATTCCTTCCTCTTTGCCGCTTCCTTCCTCTTTGCCGCTTCCTTCTCCTTTGCCGCTTCCTTATTCTTTGCCGATTCCTTCCTCTTTGCCGCTTCCTTCTCCTTTGCCGATTCCTTCTCCTCTGCGCTTCCTTCATGTCTTCCACTTCCTTGTTCTCTGCCACTTTCATCTCTTCTGCTGCTTTTTTTTTTCTCTTCTGCCGCTTTCTTCTTCTCTGCCGCTTCCTTCTCCTCTGCCGCTTCCTTATTCTTTGCTGCTTTCTTCTTCTTTGCAGCTTCCTTCTCCTCTGCCACTTCCTTCTTCTCTGCCGCTTCCTTCTACTCTGCCATTTCCTTCTTCTCTGCAGCTTCTTTCTCCTCTGCCGCTTCCTTATTCTTTGCCGCTTCCTTCCTCTTTGCCAATTCCTTCTCCTCTGAGCTTCCTTCTTCTCTGTCGCTTCCTTCACATCTTCCACTTCCTTGTTCTCTGTCACTTTCATCTCCTCTGCTGCTTTTTTTTCTCTTCTGCCGCTTTCTTCTTCTCTGCCGCTTTCTTCTTCTCTGCTGCTTCCTTCTCCTCTGCCGCTTCCTTATTCTTTGCCGCTTTTTTCTTCTTTGCCGCTTCCTTCTACTCTGCCGCTTCCTTTTACTCTGCCTTTTCCTTCTCCTCTGCAGCTTCTTTCTCCTCTGCCGCTTCCTTCCTCTTTGCCAATTCCTTCTCCTCTGAGCTTCCTTCTTCTCTGTCGCTTCCTTCATGTCTTCGACTTCCTTGTTCTCTGCTACTTTCATCTCCTCTGCTGCTTTTTTTTCTTCTCTGCCGCTTCCTTCTCCTCTGCCGCTTCCTTATTCTTTGACGCTTTCTTTTTCTCTGCCACTTCCTTCTTCTCTACCGCTTCCTTCTACCATTAATTGGACACTATTCCTTCCACTCCTACCAGCAATGTGGCACTATTCTCATTCTAAAATCAATGATGGGACATTGTTTACTCCAAATGACACCAGGGCAGTTTCTTCTCCCATTGGCCACAGTAGGCCCACCCTAGAAACTGTAGGACAGTAAATTAGCCCTTTGTTTAAAAAGTTTGGAGACCCCTGGTCAAGATGGAGAATGGGAATCTATTAAACCAGTTGGTTCAAGCTGTAAAATGGCAAAAAACAGGAAACATGTTCAATAGGAATGAAGTGATATTTCACATATACTTAAACCAGTATTTCCTGTGTTGTCCCATAAGGATAAAACAGTACTGGTCAATACAGAGGTTGCAATATGGAAAGCAGACACTAGATGGTGCTGGTGCACAAGAAGCTGAAAAGCATAAACCCAACATGGAAGAAAAAAAAAAACAAAAAGCAAAAACAAGGACAGAAGCTACAATAAAAAGAAAGTTTAAAAAAAGAACATAAAAAAAGGACAGAAGCTAAAAATGAATAAATACAGTGTAAAAAGGCTACAGTAAAATGATAAATTGGGAATGTATGCTGTTCACACTTCACTGTTGGGGATGGTTGAAACATAAAAATATTAGTGACATAATAATCAGATGAAAATAACAAAAAAATATTGGTATATGAGCTTAGACATCTGGTTGGGACAACAACAAATTGCACTGACAAGTGTGTGTGACAAGTATATTTTGACAAGAGAAGTGAGACTTCACAACACACAAGTTGTGTTTATCAAAAATGAAAATGAAACAAAAAAGGTAGAACCACTAATGAAGGAAAGAACCTTTTGTAAAAAGCACCAAAATGGCAAATTGGTATTGGCACCCCTGGATTTAACCATTTGTAAGGTGTGGATCTAGAAGGATTCGAAAATGGAGTTAAAATGTATTTCCATTACCTCCCCTATGGGGTTCAGGGATGTGATCAATTATCATGCCATGGAGTTTGTGGATTTGATGTTGTATCTCGAAAAAGTGAACAACAACTGCTTTTGTTGTCATGGTTAAAGGGTTTGGCAAGTTGATGGAGATTGATGGCCACCATAATGCTGTTACAGTGTGTCTGAAACTGGTATGTAACCCTTCTACTGCCAGAGCAGTTTTTTACTTTTTTTGGCAGAAACAATTGAGTACTGTCCGTGATACTTTTTTTATTTGCACTAACATACAATTTTGAGGACAAGCTTTCGGGGTATGTCCCCTTCTTCAAGGTCTAAGCAGTACTATTAAAAATCACAAAGTTTAAGCAGAATGTTAGAATGGATTGAGAGAAAAAAAAAGGGCAAATTTAAGAAATCATTTTAGGCCTGACGATTAGTTAAAACCCCCAAACAGCATCTATTTTCTGAACACCCTGGAGAATAAAATAGTGGTAGTTCCAATGTTTTATGTCTCGTGATATTGGTGCAAAATTTCAGTAAAAATTACCCCAAAGTTAATTTTGGGGCACACAAACACAATATATTAATTAACTTTTTGGTAAAATACAAAATATGAGGTTGAGCTGTGTAAACAGATACCCAACATGTCAAGCTTTAAATTTTCATGTGCTTGCAAAATATCAACATAGGCAATGTCTTTAAAGACCCTACATCGTCGGTATGGAGTTAAAGTAGAACCATAGGAAAAATGGTTTTTTTTTTTTCATTTTGGATAGAGTAAGGGAGGGCTCTAACCCCCATCAGATTTTTTTTTTTTTTTTTTTTGCTGTCTGTGTCCCATTGTGGAGATTTCCCTTCAATTTGTGTCCCTTAGCCAAACAGGAAGTGAGGAAACCCCTGCAAATTAAGGGAATTCCTTGGGGACCCCCAGTCACCAGAACTAGTGTCCCCATTGGAAGATTTCCCCTCTATTACTTTTCTGGGGGCAACCCAAAATTTTAGATTTTCTTTTACTTTCACTTTCAATGAGAATGGCAAATGGGACATAGAGAGGAGGAATTTCCTTAATGGGTGCACAGACAGCAATAAAAACTGACAGGGGTTCTAATCCATCTCCACTCTATCCAAATCTAAACAAACAAATTTTGACTTTTGTTATACTTTAACCTTAAATAATGGGCCTAGAATTTTGATCTCACTCCAACATACACGTGATATGTAATGTGAGTATTTAGGGCACATTAACCGCTTCTGCACCGCCCTATAGCAGAAATACTGCTACAGGGTGGCACAAGTGAAGACAACCATGTACAGTGAGGAACAGAAGTATTTGAACCCCCTGCGATTTTGCAAGTTCTCCCACTTAGAAATCATGGAGGGGTCTGAAATTCACATTGTAGGTGCATTCCCACTCTGAGAGACAGAATTTAAAAAAAAATTAAGGAAATCACATTGTATGATTTTTAAAGAATTTATTTGTCTTGCACTGCTGAACATAAGTATTTGAACACCTAAGAAACAGCAAGACTTCTGGCTCTGAAAGACCTGTTACTGTGCCTTTAAAAAGTCCACCTCTACTCCTCTCATTAATCTAACTTAGTAGCACCTGTCTGAGCTCTTTAAAGACACCTGTCTACCCCACAGTCAGTCAGACACCAACTACTACCATGGGCAAGACCAAAAAGCTGTCAAAAGACACCAGAGACAAAATTGTGGACCTCCACAAGGCTGGAAAGGGCTACGGGGCAATTGCCAAGCAGCTTGGTGAAAATAGATCGACTGTTGGAGCAATTGTTAGAAAATGGAAGAGGCTAAAGACGACTGTCTTTGTCCCTCGGACTGGGGCTCCATGCAAGATCTCACCTCATGGGGTATCACTGATGATAAGAAAGGTGAGGAATCAGCCCAGAACTACAAGGGAGGAGCTGGTCAATGACATGAAGAGAGCTGGGACCAC